GGGATGTCTCAGGAGGGGGAGGCTGGAGGCAGGGAGGGTGAGGGGAGGGGAAGGGACAGGGGGCTCCAGCCAGAGGCAGTGGTGGGTGCTGGAGAAGGGGATAATAGCACTGTGCATTTTGTGAGTGTAGGCATTTCAGAGTGATGGACACATGCGTTGATTTAGGAATGATTCATTAAGCGCCTCCGTTCACCAGACCTCACACGGGTACAGGGCATACAGGGGTGGGGAAGTCCCTGCCCTGGGGGTCTCACGTGCCTGAGTTCAGGGCTGGTGAGAGAAGGAGCAGGAGGGTGGACAGGACTCCTCAGGGAGGCCCGGCTGGAGGAACCCTGCCCTGGCTCAGGCTCAGGTGGAACTTCCCAGCAGCCTCAGCCTCTGCTCTGGAGGCCTGCCTTCCCCGCCTGCACCCTCTCCCCTCACTGTTGTCCCGCTGTGTCTTTAAGCCAGGGCATCGTGGAGCCTCCAGAAGGGACCAAGATCTACAAGGATTCCTGGGACTTCCAGCCATACCTGGACGCCCTGCRTGCTGCAGTCGGCGACGAGATCTTTCTGCACCCATCCTGGATAAAAGAATACTTCACCTGGGCTGGATTTAAGAATTATAACCTGGTGGTCAGGGTAGGCCTTAGTACTGCTCCCTCGCATGGTGGGGATACACGGAGTCCCCTCTGTCTACCGATCTGGCAGAGAACAGATCTGGCATTGTGATAAACATCCCCTCCTTGTACAGTGGGGACTGCTCTGAAGTCCAGCGCAGTTTTGTTTGGAGGCCTCCGTTCTCTCCCATCACTGTGGGCTGCCATCGTCTGTGTCTGTCTGTGGGTGTCTCATTTTGGTCTTGGTGTTTGGCACGGCAGGGATGAGTACTCAAACGGGGGGGGGCCAGGAGGTGGGAGCCCCCAGAGGGTGGAGACAAGGGAGACAGAGCAGGTAATTCGTACCCACAGATGTGCTGAGGACAGAAGGCACCRAGAGTCGGGCTAGGCCAGGACACACCCCGGCCACAGCAGAGCGCAGGGCCACCAGAAGAGCTCAGGTTAAAACCCAGCAGAGCTGGAGGTGCACGTGAAGGCAAATCAGCTACCAGCAGACGGGGTGCAGGGAAAGGGGCCTGAAATGGGCATCAGGACTGCCAGGTCAGCAAGCAGCCAGYCAGGGCCACGTAGTGGGGCAGAGGCTAGGGATGGCACCAGGAATGCACAAACCTCAGGCCCTAGAGACAAGCGTCGGTCACCCTCAGGGAGACAGCTGTTCCCCAGATTACCTCTCAATCCCTGAACATTAATGCCACGCCACACCCCGCTCAAAACCGTGACTCCCCAAAACCTCCTTGGGGGGTCATTGCCCGTCTGTGACAACGTTTTTGCTGGTCAATAGTGAAAAAAGAAAAGACGTGGTTATGCTGTTGGTACAGAGATATCACCTCTTTTCCTGGGATGAATTATCAGTATTCCAAGATGGTTTTCGAGGTATTGCCATCTTCCTTGAGTGACATACAAGGAYAGCAGATGTCAGACTTTTTTCCCAAGTCATCACTTGGCAAAATAAAATGTCGTTACCTGTGTTAGCTCCCAGATATGTTTTTAGGAAATTGTCTTTGAAATCCAAGGACCTGGGAGCTGGGATCGTGGCTCAACAGCAGAGCACTCGCCCAGCACACGTGCGAGGCCCTGGGTTAGATCCTCAGCACCACATAAAAATAAATAAAATAAAGATAAAAAAAAATCCAAAGACCTGGGAAACATGGGTCTAAAGGATATTTAACTTGGACAATTAGTATGGAGATGAGGAAGACCATCGCAGCTTTCAATGAGACTTGATGCTTGGCTGCCCTGCGACGGACAAGCAGCCCACGTTTTGTGTCTCCCCACACCTGAGGTGCTTAAGATCCTGAYGGCCTGCTCTGTGCATCGGACTGAAGGTAGTGGTAGCAAGCAGTTCTGCTTGTAGAAGGCTAGAGTTCAAATGTCCTCCAGGCCTGGGGGTCAGTGGGGGACTAACCCAACTGCCAACACACTGCTGTCCTTCAAGGACATCGGGCCCAACGTTCTTAGGGTTTGTCAAAGACCTCGACCCCCATTGATGTTCCCCTTCCATGTGCACAGATGATCGAGACGGATGAGGACTTCAACCCCTTTCCTGGAGGGTATGACTACTTGGTGGACTTCCTGGATTTATCCTTTCCTGAAGAAAGACCCAGCCGGGAGCATCCCTATGAGGAGGTGAGCAGCATTGGTGGAGGGGCCTCCTGCCTCCTCCATCCCTTCCTCCTCCTCCCCTCCCGCCCCTCTCCCTTCTCCCTTTCTGGTTTTACAATTACTTTAGATTAACAGCGTTTCAGGGACAGCACGCGTATTGCTGACCCCCTACTTTGAGATTGTGTATTTGTCCCAGCTCACAACCCTCTCTTAGCTCAAGTGCCCCTCTGCCTCTTCCTGAGCCGTCTGTGGAGACTGGCTTCCCACCTGCTTCCTTCCAAACACCCTCCGTCTCAGCTGCTGTTAGAGCTCGCTTTTCCTCTGTCCAGTGGCGTCCCCTTCCCCAGGTGGACCCACTGGGTGTCACAGTGAAGGAAGTCAACATAAGCCCATGCATGTGTGTTGTCACACTCCWGTTCTGAGCAGACCCCTCAGCAGCACGGGTCAAGGAGAGAGCCAAGGCTTGAGAGACGGTCAAGCTTGGGACTGGTGCCCAGCCCTGCTGGTCATGGTCTCTGGTTCTGAGGCTTGAGCAAGTTCTTTCACCTGCCACCTCGGCTTTTCCATGGGACACCTTCCCACCGGGTGGATGCATTAATCAAATAATGTAATACGCATGAGAGTGCCTTGCACAGTAGAATTCTGTATGAGTGTTGCAGTCACTAGATAAGTTTCAAGGGCACACAGTCTGCCCTTGAGTTTTTTGCAAGTACCATTTAAATGTGTGACGCCCTGATTGTAGAGGCTATAACAGAGGTAATCCATGAGCTCCTAAATTACACTCTAGTACATTGGYTCGGATCTTTACATTTCATGAAGTATTTATTATTGAAGAGAACCTTATGCTGAAACCTCAGGAAAACCCATAATCACCTACCAGACTCACAGGTCTTGGAAAACTGGGGTTTTACATGGAAGAAAGCCCTGCGCGAAGCACCGTATGGATTAGGAATGGGTTTACACTTTTCTTATTTTTATTTTTTTTGAGATGGAATATCTTTATGTTGCCAGGCCTTGAACTCCTGGGCTTAAGCAATCCTCCTTCCTCAGCCTCCTGAATAGGAGGGACTGCAGGTGAACAGGACCACGCCTGGCTACGTTTACTCCCATCTTAAGCAAAAGGAATCTTCTCAAGATTTGTTATATGACATTTACCTYGCTTGTTCTATGCCAAGCCCAGTTTCACATGTGTTGCAAGTATTAAGTCGCTGAATCTGACACAACCCGAGGTACAGATACTACTCTTGTCCCATTCTACGATGTGATACTCAGGAGTGAGATCACTCACCAAGGTCATCATCCAGYGGGTAAATTGTGGTGCGAGGCATTGGGCTCAAGCAGTCAAGCTCCAGAGTGGATGTTTTCAGCCCCTGTGTGGACACTCATGTCTGGATTGAGAAAACCTCTAGATTAAGGTGTCTGCTAGTCTTAAAGGAGAATCACCTTTGCAAGGGTTAACACAAGGTCATTTAAAATATTTAACTTGATAACAAGTCGCTTTTTCAAAGCTTTTCATAATACATCCCCTGGATAGAGTGGTGACTCTCCTGCAGATTCAAACACACTGTGGGTAAACCGTGCCTGCCGTGCCCTCGGTGGGCTGTGGTGGGGCTCGTGGGTGGTACCTCCTAGGGCCTTAGTGAGAGCACCATCCATGTGGTTTGTGTCCACACTTGTAAAAGACCCTCTTGGTGGGACTTAGAGCCTTCTCATATTGCTTCCATCTTTGTTTTGTTTGTTTGTTTGTTTGTTTTGCCTTAATGCCTTGCAAAGCCGTAACTGTGTTCTTTTTTGTCCCTAGACTCAGGCCCGCCTTTCTCCTTCTCCAGACTGGGTGAGCTCCAGGTCTGCTGCAAACCCACCTCCTCTGCTGCTTCCAGACCCTCCACGTCTTCCCCCTCCTTGCTCCCTCCTTTCTGGACTTCTGCTTCACCAGCAGCCTGAGACAGGGTGCCTTTCTCCCACTGCCTGGGTTACAGGACAGCGTGGCCGACGTGGGGTTGTAGGTGGCTAACCTTCCCATAGACACTAGTGGCATGCAAAGTTACTCCAAAGAAGACGGATGCCAGCTGACCCTTCCTCCTTTGTAGCTGACTTTAAAAATGATGAGTCCTGGTTTCCCAATAAAAAGACATGGGCAGGCTAATTTCAGGCCGGCTGCATAGGGCAGGATTTGTAACCCGTGGACTTTACCTGAAGGTGCAGACCCCACACTTCACTGCTCAGAATGGCCCATGGCAGGTCTCACAGAGGGGTGGGGCTGGGTGGGATGGCGTCATGTGGAAAGCAAATCCAGGTCAGAAGCCAGCAAGCCCTGCTGAGCTCCAGCTCTGGGTTTTACAGAGAACTTGAAATACAGATTTTCATGTGAAATATACAGAAATGTAGATAGTTAATTCAAATGCGTTAAGGACTGTGACTTGGTGAGACAACACCCCTTTTGCTCAGGGGTCACCAGTATGCTTGGAATCATGAAGGTGGGGAACCATCCACAGGTTGGGGACCCTGTGCCCAAATGTGGGGGCCCTGTTTTGAGCTTCACAAACATACTCTCTGCCCTCATTCTCCCCAGACATCAAGTCCGTGCGTTCAGAGAACCATCTGAACGTATTTGGTGAGGACCGTGCGTGGGGGTAGGTGAGGGGCCAGCTGTTTGGTGGACATGCATTTCTGCTCATCTGTGGTCCCTCCCACACCCTCCTTGTCCAGGCTACTTTCACATCCGCTCTGCAGCCTCCATCCTGAGCAAAAGGGGTGTTGTCTGCCTACTGTCTATCCGCTCCACTAGGTGGACTCTCCGGTCAGTGACCCCCTTCCTTTTCACCGTGGCGGCTTGCACCTGTGTAACTGCTTTGTCAACATTTTGGTTGGGTCTGGGAATGCAGAGGAGGCAGGGGATGAGCTCCGGTGACACGGTGCCCTTGTCCTCCCTCCCTTCCTGTGCCTCTCGGGCATGCTTCAGAGTTCCTCCTCTGCATCCAGAACCTCTTCTTTCCCTGCAGAACGCTGTGCACAAACCACTGTTTTCCTCCAGTCTCTTCCTGAGTGAACTCATCTGCTGACTTCACTTTTCTGCTAATGACCCCCAGATCCACGTCCGTCCTGGACTTCTCCATGCTCTGGTCAAGTGTTGGATTCTTGGCTGTCAACAGCCTGCTGATACCATCACCCAGATTTCTGAATGCTTGGTCCTCATTTTCAACCAGTTCAAAATCCAACCTGTCATCTCCTTTCTCTAAAAACTGACCTGTCTGCCTTTCTAACGGGTTGTGGGCATCATGGGTCCCCAGTCAGCCACGGCAGAAACAGGGACACCATCCCAACTCTTCCTGTTCCCTCATCCTCAAATCTAATCGGCCTCCATTTTACATGCTATTTCTCAGATCAACCCTCAATTCTCCATTTTTTTTTTTTTTTTTTTGGTTGCAAGTTTTAAGTCACTGAATCCGACACAGTCCTGGGAACAGATACTACCTGCTACGCAGGTTCTGATGGATAGGCTGTTACAACCTGTCCAGTCTCAGGATACCATCCCTTCCTGCTGCTGATATGAATTCACTTTTTGTCTCTCTTCAATTTCCTAATACAGAAGCCAAGCCTCCACTGGCATGAGATCACACAGCTCCTCTCCTGGTTAGAAAGAAGGAAGTCCCCACACAGCACCCTAGCCAGGCCACCCTCACCCACCCAACTGGGGAATTATGTTTCTACATCTCTCCTGGCAAAGACACAGATCCTCTAACTTCTCGTAAGCTCAGTTCACAATGATAGGATTGTCGTACAGGARGGGAGCTGGGAAGGGAAATGGATCCAAACGCCCATCTCCAGTCATCCGTGCCTTTGACTATGACACCTGTCAATGATGAAAGTTTGCCTTCACTGGCTTTTACAGGATATTAATCAGGAAAAAAAGAAATGTGAGGCTGATCCTTAAGCTTCTGTAAATGCCACGCAGGTTCTGACAGATAGACTGTGACAACCTGTCCAGTCTCAGGACATCATCCCTTCCTGCTGCTGATATGAATTCACTTTTTGTCTCTCTTCAGTTTCCTAATAGAGAAGCCCAGCCTCCGCAGGCCTGAGAGCACACAGTTACTCCACACAGGCGGAGACCCGGGCCGTCTGCCCCTCCGGTCCTGTGCTACTCTGACCATCCAACAGTATTAGCAGTGGAGGATGCTTGAGGCTCAGGTCCTAACCCGCTGAAGTAGGCAGTCCAGCTCTGCCACAGGCTGGACACACACGGGCCRCCCTGAACTTGCAGGCTCTGTGTTACCCTGGACGTCCAGGTGGAGAAGTGGACACTCTGCTTTGTAATAACCATGATCACAAACACGCGTCCGATTCTCACTATGCGCCAGGCCTTGTTTTAAGAATTTTATTTGCACTGGCTCATATAATCCTCATGACAGTCCTACGAGGAATGTTCTCTTGGGTTCATTCCGCTTGCACGTGAGGCACAGAAGGTACAGAGGCTGCGCCACTGAAACCTGGATTGGAACCAGCGGTCTGCCTCAGTGGGCTCCAGGCCCTGCGTCCCCGACTCCTGACTCCCCTCCGGTTCTCTCCCTCCATGCCACTGCTCTTGACCCCCCTCCCCTCAGCTATGCTCTCTGCTCCAGGTGACCCCGTACTCCTGTCCCCCTGTTGGGCCTGGCCACCCTGAGAGCTGCTCCCGTCTGTTTCAGATTCGCAGCCGGGTGGACGTCATCAGGCACGTGGTGAAGAACGGGCTCCTCTGGGATGACCTGTACATAGGGTTCCAGACCCGGCTGCAGAGGGACCCCGACATATACCACCACCTGTAAGTCTGCAGCACCTGTCCCCCACCCCTGGCCGCAGCAGAGGACGTGGGGGCAGTGCACAGGCCTGCCGGCCCCAGCCCAGCCTGCYTGGGGGACTCCCGTAGCAGTGTCCTGATCACTCGCGGAGGCGGTGTTGAGTGGGAACGGTAAAGGCTGTACAAGACAGCAAGGCGAGAACCAGGAGGGGGTGGACCTTGAATTCAGTGAACCCCCATGTCCCCCTTCGCCTCCGCCCAGCCCTGACGGCGACCTGGGTGGACGAGCTGGTTAGTGGGAATGGCCCGCTCCCTGCGGCTCGCTCAGCCTTCACAACTGTTCACAACTGTGCAAGTCTTTGCACTCACACTTGGAAGACTTGAACTGCACTCTCAGAAAAGGCCATTTTCCATTTTCACACTTGGAAAATAATTACCGAAGAAGGGAGCACTCTTTCTTATAATCACCTCTAATCCTCTCATTTAAAATGCCTCAGAAAAACCCACTATCTAAATGCAATTACAGGCGTTTATTCAACCTTTTTTAAAAATTCATTTCCTTTGAATGCTTATAGTTTGAAATTTAGAAGAAGGTGGAAGTATATAAAGCACAAAGTGACCCCACCAGGCACCTCCCAGGAAACCACATCTGTTTCCTGCCCCACCCTCCACCCACTCAGGGTCACCCTTGATAACAGTGCCCATTTTTGGGTCCTTCGGCATTTCTCTAAATAGATTTGTTTTCAATAAAATGTCCTGTATTGTTGGGGGTAGGGCGGTATCCTTGCTGTTGTTTTTAAATGCGGTTTCAGTGCAACTGTTGTGCAACTTAACACCCAAATACATGGGGACCCGCAGGGCACCCCATAGCCTTTTAACGGCTGAAATGCACCCCAAGTTTTGTTCATTTTCAACAGAGCATATACCCAGCTTCCTGTCCTGACAGGATTGGGGGGAGAATGCAGCAACTTTGGGGAGATTCTGGAGGTTTCTTAATGAAAATAATTAATCTTGGGAACTTCTAGGCCCTAGATGCTGAAGATGATCTTGGTGTGTCGTGTTTTGATAGGATGCATTAATGAATCTTAGGACGCAGTCACGGCCCAATTTATCTTTGTTGCTCTTAAAACAGAATGAGTGGGTTTGCCAAACAGTTTTCTCCTTACAAAAACCACACAAATTCACTGTGGAAAATTTGAAAAAATATTTTAAAATTAAGACCACTAATAATCCCATCACGTTGACAGAGCAATGACGTTTTGGTGTCTAGTTAATCATCCTTTTTCTGTTCACAAACACATGCATTTTTTTTTTTTATAAAAATAGGACAATGCTGTGCATCTTTCCACACTTTTTCATCATGGCTGTCCACATTCCTGCAGACTCTCCCCAGCCTCTTTGATGCCCGCCTCCCTGACACCATCTGCCCATGTCCAGACCTCATGGAGCCCATCTTGGTTGACCTTTAAGTTGTCCCAACCTTTCACTGTCCCAACCYGTGGCTGGGCAGATCAGCATGCAGCTCTATCTTGCACACTTTCTTTATGATTTCCTGAGGACAGACTCCTGGGTGTGTCATTGACGGGCCTGGTGAACACAGGGCTTAGGCCTTTGGTGCCCTCTGCCAAATTGTTCTTCAGGAAGCCAGTTCTTCATCCTATGAATAATGTACCCCAAGACACATGCACCTGCCCCTTTGCCAAGCCGAGGCCCTAATGCGTTTGTGTACAGCATATAAATCTGGGTTTTTTCACCTATGAGAATTCCTTAAAGCAAGGCTCATAACAATGCCATGAGAAAGACAGGCTCATCATGTTTGAGGGACTATCTGTATTCAACACCCTGAAAACTATAAGCTCCTGAGCCCTGATCAGTTCAGAAATGCAGCATTAGGGAGAACTGAGAGCAGTATCCAAAAGGTCCTGGCAAAACAGGAGGTGTGGGGGTTTCCAAAACGTATTTCCCTGCTTTATGTCTCCTACAGGTTTTGGAATCATTTTCAAATAAAACTGCCACTGACGCCACCCAACTGGAAGTCCTTCCTGATGCACTGCGGTTAGAGGGACTTGGGACTTCTCAGGTAGAGCACCTTGTGGATCTGGGAGACACTCTGCTGCTCTTTCTCACTTAAATTAGCAGGCCCCTGACTTTTTGGGGGTAGAGATAGAGTGAACGGTACAAGGATGCTAAAGTTTAAAAGAAAGTGAATAAAAGAGAGTGAGGGCATCCAGTCCAGGGACCACACAAGCCTCGGTCAGGTTGACGTGAACACACAGCCGTTAGTGAACAAAACAAGATCCATTCTGAGATGTCAGTGAGCGCTCAGAAATAAATCATGAGCACACAAGGATAGCAGCAGCAAAACGAAAGAGAAAATCTAAAGATGGAGTAAGATGGGAACCATTCCCTCCGMGTCCGGTAGACCTATGACTTCTCTGGAGTGGAGGAGGGGAGCTTGTCTGGTACACATGGAAGGGGCCACTCTGTCTGTGGCTTGAGGTGTCCTTTCATCGGCCGAGTTACACACTGTTTCCAAATGCACGTGATGGAAAGGACCACATAGTCTTCCYACGGAGTCAGTCTCCCCTGGACTCTTGCTTTCGTTTATTTGTTCCACAGACAGTGATTGATCCCTTCTCATTTTCCAGCCATAAGCTGGTGACGGTTCCTCCCCGTAGATGATGAGTTCCTTCAACTAGAGGCTATTGCTTGGCCAGCCCTGTTCGTAGCACGCGCCCAGTGTGATCGTGACTTCAAGCAAGAAAGGAACACATGCATCTTTCTCTCCCACTGTCAGTGAGACTTGCCTCTTAAATAGGCTCCCGTTGTCTTTACTGGTAAAACTAAAGGTCAAGGCAGAGCTTCTTTTACACCCTTCTCAGTTGCAAAGCCCTGACTCCACACTGTAGTCTAGCACAGGCGCAGGGTTAGGTCTTCTGGTCATGATCCTAAGCTAGAGGGCATGCTAAGGAGGCCCACTAGGCTGCACCACAGGTCACTCTTGTAAGCACTGGCTTGGGCTGAGTGGGCAGTGGGTGGTGGCCACGTGGACCTTATGAGCCACACAGGAGAGCCATGCCACGTACGGGCAGCCACCCAGCAAAGTGCAAAGGGTCGGAAGTCGAATCCCAGTTCACATCCTAGATTCTCCCTCACCATAAAGCAGCTCTAGGGCTCAATCTACGTGCAAGAACGAAGATGTGTCCAACGCAACAAGAAAAAGGGCAGTATGGAGATGAGGTTCAATGGTTGTTCATTAGCAATCTCTTTCACTCACAGGGATGCCAGACCACATGAAGAATTCGAGAATTTACCTGCTCCACCTTGATACAGGTTCATCCCAGAGAAACTACGCTTTATCACATAAGCATCGGATGTCATGCTGCCTTCGTGAGATGTTTACAAAACTTGTGGATCACTACGCAGATACGCAAATATATTTTTCTGGGGGTGTTGCTCAGTGCCAGATTATATGCTTAGATGCATGAAGTACTGGGTTCCTATATATATATATATATTATATATATATATATATATATATAAATCTCACCCATAATTCTCAATAGAAGGAAACAATGAATCCAAAAGGAACAAGCCCTGTATGCAAAACAAGGCCTAACAAATTGAGATATGAATCCAAGCATAGAAGAAACAGGAAAAATAAAGTTTTTTAAAAATTTAAATTTTCAAAAAAACTCAATTTCCTGAAACAGTGAGTAACCCTCTTCTAAACCCTTAAAAACATTGTTTCAAATGGTGCAAATGGGCAACTGATTTGACTGTTTTTGTTAATGACTGTAGATTTTTATGATATTCATATAATTATTTAGGACATAGAAATTAATTTCTAGAAAAATACGATTGTTAGGTAGATTTCTGTCTTATGTGTTGATGTTTCCAATGYACATCACTGATTTGAAAAATCAAAACCTGTTTTTTGATTGTATATTCTACCTCTTTAATTCTTAAGATTCCAGAATGTGGTGGAATTTGTCTCCTTAAATCTTGGCAATTGCAACACTGGTCGTCTGCTTCCTATTGACACCAATAGAGCTTGATTCTTCTGGTTGACCTCACATATTTTGCAGAGCAGAAATGTTTGGAATCCAGGAAAATTTTTGTGTGATTTACACTATATAGTAATATATTCACTTATCACTAAAAATAAATGTAACATTTGTCAATAGAATCTATGTTAAAATTCATATAATGACTGAATAAAAGATTATATTTTAAAATACAAGTGTGCCTTCTCTGTCCAGTTCTCTCCTCCCGATATCCAGTTCCTTGGGGTCACCAGAACCTGCAAGCCACCAACCCTGCTCTGTCCCCATGTCCTCACTTCCCTCCTCGCTCTTCTTCCTGCCCCCACATCCTCACTCTCCTCCTCTCGAGTCTCGTATCTCACTTCTATGAGCCAAATGAAAAGCCGCAAAATCATCCTTTATCTTTGCTCTCACACCCACTCTGCCGACAGCTCCTTCCACCTCCACCTTCAAAACATGACCAGGTCTGACCGCTTCCCGCCACTTCTGCCTCCAAGAGCTGGAGAGGAAGGAGACCCGGGAGGGTGGTGGGCAGGAGGGGCTGATTCCCTTCACCGGGACCTGCCAATCCAGAAAAAGCCAACGAGCTCAGTGCTGCCGAACTCGTTCAGAGGTGCTCACGGGGCACCGGGGAAGCCGTTTGCTGGGAAACGCCTCTGGGGTGCAGAGCCTGAGTGTGCAGCCACCCAACGGTGCCAGGAAGCTGCCAGCAGCAGGGGCTGAGGCTCACTGAATATTCAGGAGCCCTGCTCTGGAGAACCCTGGGCTTCTGGAGCGTGGCAAGCAGCTGTGGCTGGCCAGGAGGAGGAGACTGTCTTTCTGGTGCCCCTGAGCCCTCGGCACACAGGGCTTCCCTTCGCACCACCGCCGGCAGAGAATCAGATGAGGTTTTCAAACAGGCAACGAAAAGTCAGTCCGGAGCGAGAAACAGGAACTGGGAACGACACAGACGTGATGAGACACGTGGTGTTCTAGGGTCACCACTAGAGGAACAGTAAGGGAGGGGTGACCACAAATGGGATAATTTTAAAATATTCACCTGAAAGATGCCAACAAAAGAGAAAGCTCACCCATGACGGGGGGTTTTGGGAAACAAGAATTTCTGATGGTTGAGGTTCGAGGGGTCCCACCCAGACTCCTGTTGGAGGCCCACAGGGAGGTAGTGAGGGGCCCACTGAGAGGCCACCTGTTCAGGACTGGGTTGGCACAGCAGTGGCTCTCTGGCCTGCTGGCTTTCTCCCCGTGACACCCTCTGCCATCACACGGCCCAGCAGGAGGGCCCTCACCAGATGCCACCCAGATGCCAGCACCATGCTCCCAGACTTCCAGGACCAGGAGCTAACGAAACCTCTGTCCTTTATAAAGCACCCAGAATGCAGTATTCGTTCAACACAGGACGATCCATTCATCCCACCACATTCACTGAAGAAAGGAGAGAAGTTAGAGGACCATCTCAGTGCAGGTGCAGAAAGCATTTGGCAAACGTTTTCGTATCCATCCATGATTTAAGAGGGAAAACTGCCTTCTGGTAACGATATAAGGGAACTTTCTCCAAAAGAGAATAAAAGATAAGTAAGAAGAAAAGAAGCAAATCACTCCTGCAGAGAGAGACAAATAGACCAAGATAGCAGAATGGGAGGCACAGAGACTAACCCAGGCACTGTGGCACCTTCTTAAAGACAGCGCGGGCAAACGGTGGTTAAAAAGAGGGCGGGCGCACTGGTTTTCACGTGGGCTGAGGGACAGGGCATCAGCCAGACCTAGGGAGCTGGCAGACATTTTCTGTGACACGAAAGGCCTTGTCATGGAGGCGCTGGRGAAGGGCGGCTTCTCGGTCCCACAGTTCAGCTCATCTACCCCTGCACCAGCGTCCGCTGATGGCATCATCTTATTTAGTTTTCTAGCGTGTTGTGAAAGCACGTAAGCACTCCTCTCTKGTTGCTCTTCTTGATCCAAATTTTCAAGGCACCCCTTGCACATCCGTCTAGAACTTTAAGATCAGTTTGCCACACTCCAAATTGTTTGTAAAAATGGTACCAGAAAAATCACTATTAGCAGCTTCCCTTCCCGGAATAGATGAACTGGGAGGGAGGACGGTGAGATGCCGGGGGACGTGGTGAGGGCTGGCCTAACGGCAGTGGAGGGGCTAAACAAGGACAGAGAGACCCCCGTGGACACATGCAGATGTGCAGCCTGCTCAAGAGGGTGTGCAGACCCTGACCTGACTGATATTTTCTTTGATGACCCAGGCCTAAGACCCCAACTGGCCTCTGCTCACTGCCAGCCCACAGAAAGGAAAGCAAAGTTCACTTCCTCCAAACTGTGGCATTTCTACCCACCCTCTTTTTTCTTTCTTTCTTTTTTTTCTTCCTTTTATGTATCTGTTGTGGTTTGGATCTTCACTGTCCACCAAAAGCTCGAGAGTCAGGCAGGGCAGCAATGTTCAGAATTGAAAGGACTGGCCTACAGGGSCTCTGGCCTCCCTGGGGCACTGCTCCAGTGAAGACTGATAATTGACTGACTTGCTGGGAGGTGTAACACAATGGTGGGGTGTGCCCCCCTCTGTTTCTCACCGCTTCCTGGCGCCTGAGCTGAGCAGCTGTCCTTCTGGCATGACGTGCTGCCTGGGAGCCCTGGCCATGGCCTGAGACCTCTGCAACCAAATAAGACAAAATAAACCCTCTCCCTCTAAGTTCTTCTTGACAGGTGTTTTGGTCACAGCCACAAAACTCGACTAACACGATATCTAAATCCTGCTTTTGACATGTTAGAAGCAATTAAATCAATCCATTTATTTCTCGTGTATACAAGCAAGTAGCAGGTAATGTTTACAGAGCTTAGTGTTATTATTTGACAGGTCATAATCAGCTTAAGAAACTGCGATGGTTTCAACTGCAGCTGGTARTTATTCCAATTGAAAAACTTTTCAGTTATGTAAATAAACATTAGAAACGTCTTCCCCAGGGAAGACATATATAAATTATTACAAGAAGTGTACAAGATGGAAAGAAACTAATAATGAAAGTTTACCAAGGAAAATAAAAGATCTGAAGAATTGGGAAGACATACTTTCCGGGATAGAAATATTCTGTGCTGTATTGATTCCTAAACTTAATGAAATCTCAATAAAAAGCACTCCTACAAATAAATAGTAAAATGTAAGCAATGAAATAGAAAAAAAATGGCAAAGGAGATGAAGAGAAAATTGTCTAAGGAATACAATTGGCCAATCAATAAATGAAAAGAAACTTAAATTTAATAATAGGTGCACCAACAAAAGTATACAACAGGTGATTTACAAAATTATCATTTTTAACTTTTTTTTTAAACTGGGTATTGAACCCAGGGTTACTTTACCACTGAGACATATCCCCAGACAGGGTCTCTCTAAATTCTTGAGGTTGACCTCAAACTTGTGATCCTCCTGCCTCAGCCTCCAAACTTGCTGGGATTATAAATGTGTGCCACTGTGCCCAACCAGAATTATATTTATAAAGTTTAGGAAACACAGATATCTATCAACTAAGAAATAGAGTAGAACACATTATATAGTTATAAACAGTGAGGTAACTCTGTGTTTTTGGATCCAGAAAAGTATAGTACATGGTTTTAAAAAATTAAAAGTTACAAGAAATATCACTTTTATGTTAAAATGACACTATATATAATAATGTGTGTGTGTCCAAGGAAGAACATCCGGAGTGTTCACATCAGTCTATCAACAGGGAGCAGAYAGATGGGGCAAGAAGGGAATGGGATCCGCCACTTTCTTTATATACTTCCGTGCTGTTTAAATGTATTTTTTAAAAGCATTCTTGTATTCACTGTGTAATGAGTAAAAAAATAGTAATATAGGATTTTAGATTCTAACTGCAGCCTTTTAGRTCAGCTAGATTTCAGCATTCATTCCCAGCTTTATTCAACATTGCAYTGTAGATATTCTATATTTTCTTGGACATAATTTTTCTCCTATTATTACTATTTTAAAAAGCCAGGCCTTTGTGATATTATTGTTATGATTATTTATTGATTGATACTGGAACTAGGCAAGGAGCACTTAACTACTTATTGAGCTTCATCTCCAGTCCTTTTTTTTTTTTTTTCTTGAGCCTGGGTCTTGCCTCAGCCTCCTGAGATGCTGGGATTACAGGCCTGGGCCACCACACCTGCCTTAATATTTCACATTCTAAATGAGCCTTAAGTTCAACTTTTCTTCTATTGTTGAACATTGAACAATCTTTTGAARCCTCTTCTCCATATACCAGTATGTGTTACATTTTTCATATTTTGGGTTGTTTTCTTGCAGTAGAATACTTGAAGCTGGGTTGCTGGATGAGGCTGTATGAACAACTGCAGCTTTGGGTAGCRCCTCCAGTCTTCCAGAGAAAGTACAGCCATACAATACCCGGACCCCTCGGTTTCCGGGTATTATATGCCTGTACTTTCTCTGTTGTTCCCCAGAGCTCCAAGGAGCTACTGCAGAATCCCCCTGTGCTGCTYGCAGATACCACTCATACATATTTCTCTTTTTAAACGCCCCCAATGTCTTTAGGTCGGTCGTGTTTTCTGTAAAAACAGCAACGGCAAAGTCTTTAAGGAAGCTTTCTTTCTTTTTAATTGGCACATACTATTTATACAGAACGGTGGGCTTCATTGGGGGCATATTTTTATACACATAAAAACTTAATTTATCAGTTTCGCTCCCCACCCTTCCCTAATCCTCTTCTGCTGCCCTAATGGCCTCCTTCTACTTTAGTGCCACCCCTGTTTATGCCTCCTGGCCGCCATATGAAAGAAAACAAGATATTTTTCTTAGTATAACCAAAAATATGAAAAAAATGTCAGAACTCCGCCTCCCTGTTATGCCCGTACATTATTATTTTAGCAAAGTCTAGGCTCCTTAGCCCAATGACACAGGCCATCACAGGCCGTCCAGCTGTCCAGGGACCTGGCCTTCTCCTGCAGATGCGCCCTGAGCCGSGGCCATTCGGCGCCCGCATCCTGCAGCGAGGCGCGCGGCCGGCAGGGGGCGGAGCAGCACCGCCGCGCAGCCCGCCGCTCCCCAGCCTTCCGCCTGCCGTCCGCGGTGGCCGGGCTGGCGCTGCCTCCAGCCGGCGACTGC